TTTAATACAATTAAAACAATTATGCAATTAATTTTTTGTTTGATATATTATTGAGTGAAATTTTCCTAAACAAATAGAAGTTCTTTTAAAACTTTCCGAGAACTTTCTGACATATAAAAGTTCTATAATGAAAAATGTCTAATAGATTGCATCGTAATATTTTATTGTTTTATTGCGATCAATATTTTATAGGTTCTTTAAGTAATTTTTTGATCCTTCTAAGTAACAGGACTATTAAATTTATTAAAGCCCTATTTATTTCAGAATTTTTTTTTTTATTTTACCGGGAAATAGAAGTAACACTTTTATTTTAGAATAAAACTGTTATTATGTTTGACTAATTAATTTTAATCACTTCCTGTGTCTCTGGCCAGGATTGCAGACAAGGCGACTTTAATGTCTTGGAGATCGCTTTTTCACTGGCTTGGAAGAGATAACGAAATCAAACTTATCGAATCTCTTCAATTTCATCTGGAGAACTAAATGGTTTAACAAAGATAACACAGGTTAGCACCTCACCTTTCCCGGCAAATTTTTTCCGAGTAGATGTGCTGACAAATGTCAGCATGAGTTTTCTGAACCTATTTTTTATTTTAGATGTCAAAAATTAGTTTACATTATATATATTTAACTTTATAATATGATCATTCCATATAAAACCAAATTAATTTTACTATGAAAATGGCACTTATAAATGTTCCATTTACTGCTATGTATACGAGTGTAATATTCTGGGTAAAATATAGTACTAATTGTATAAAGTAACAACTAAAAATTTAATGAACTACTCAACGAAACTTTAATTCCGTCTTCACAAAACAGGATATCGAAGTGGAAAAGGTTAAAATGAGAGCAAAAGTAGTCCACACGTATGTTTTGCTTGTAATTACGCAAACAAAAACTTAAATTTCGTAGAACTTCAAGGAGTGCAATTACATTTTTTGCGCGCCATTAAGTGCTCTTCCGTGCAACAGGAAAAAGTGAAACTCATTTGACATACTTTTTTGTGTTCATGAAACTTGGATAAAATAAAAACTTAAGGATAATGACTAGGAAAATTTACTGGTATATGTTAAGTTTATATGAAACTGTGTTCTACGAAATACTGCAGTGCTATTAAATTAAAGTAGTGGTTATATTTACTACTTTTTCATGGCTGCGTTATAATGACATTATATATGTGGTTTATATATAAGTCCATGTTTATATAAAATAACTTCTATGTTTAGTATATGCAGTGTTTAACATTAAAAAATAATATCTTTTAAAATTTCATGGATAATTAAAACACAAGAACAAACTATTTATTTCTTTGGGTTGCAGTAAATTCTGTAAAACTGATGTGGTCAGTGGATTTTGAGCTTATATTCATATGTGTACATTCACGAATAGTCACTTAATGAATATGTTTTTGATTAAGTTGGATCTATTTGAATCTCCGAATATTTCACAACACAAAGAGACTTCCATCAGTTGTCAGTTCTGGCTAATTATGTTGATATCTATTAGTTCACACTAAAAGTTTTGACGGTCTAATATCAAGTTCGAACAAATCGATTAACTTTTGTCTAGTTAGTTTTTTTTAAGAACGTAAAACCGAAATTTCATATATTTTGCTAAAAAGAAATTTATTATATCAATAATACAAATACTTTGTTTAACTAACAATTTAAGCTTATATGGGTATGTTAAATGACGTTGAGCAACATCATCCGCTCCATTAGGATAGAGAAAAACCACTCTGAGCCGTTTGATACTATGCGCGGTTTTAGACTGGGTGACACCTTGTTGTGTGACTTCTTTAACCTTATATTGGATACGATAATCTGGCACTATATTTAATAAAAGGGTGATATAGCTTGCGTATGCCTACGATATTGATATTATTAGCCTGAATACCCACGCCCGCGAAATAATGCGGATTTTTTTAACTCAGGAAAACAAACAAATGATTCTTGTGGTAAACAAGGAAAAAATAAAGTACTTTCTGTCAATAAACAAATTTCCTGAGCGTCTCTGGACCGACACACTGTTGACAACTGTAAGCAAAAATGATGTCATCCTAGCAATTCAACGCAGAATCACTCATGACAACAGATGTTACCTCGGGCTAAGTAGGTAATTGAGAAATAAAGCCCTCTCTCGACAATTAAATATCACTCTTTACAAGTCTCTTATATGCTTGTCCTGCCATCAGAATTACCAACAGTTATGAGAAGGCGTTAGAAGCATTCGAGAGAAAAATTCAAGTATTGAATTGAATGGAACGATTAATCATATGAGTTATACTGCGACACTGATATTGTTAAGTGCATAAAAATTATGCGGCTTCAGTGGAAATGAAAGACAATGTTTCGATTATAAAGGTATTTAAATCGGCATTCACAGGAGGCAAGCGCGGTAAGGACGTTTGCAGCTTCGATAGAAGGACCAGGTGATCAACGATATGAGTGTGCTCGATATTACCAACTGCCGATATCAAGCCACTGATTGGTAAAATTATAATTTCATATGTTGTTTTAATCTCACGTTATAATAGCCAAAATAATTTACGAGTATATTTTGTTAGAAAAAGTATTATTTTAATAATTTATTTGATTTTATTATATGTATTACATTATTATATTATTCTATATATCATAACTTTAGCTTAATAATCTATATAAATTCAATTTATATCTAAAGTAATTAAATTAACTTATAATATACAATATAACATTTTTATTGTATTATTAATTTTTAGAGTATTATTTGTTAAAATTTTTAAAAATTTGTTTTCTAATATCCAGTATGACCGCAACCGGCACTATGTACATGCCCATGATTATGGTTATGTTCATAAATCCGTTCACTTTGGTGATTATGTGGATACATTGGTGGTTGATAATGCATGGGAGCGGGGTAGTATTCAGGGTAATAGGGAGGTGGGGGATTATGATAATGCCCATGAGGATTGAAATGACCAAGACCATGATTAAATTGTTGCTGACTTGGATACATAGGGGGATTACTAAAACTATGTCCATAACCTCCACTATGAGGAGCATTAAATCCATGTCCATAACCTCCACCTTGAGGAATATTCAATGGATGTCCATAACCTCCACTTTGAGGAATATTCAATCTACGTCCATAACCTCCAGTTTGAGGAGTATTCCATTCATGTCCATGACTTCCAACCTGAGGATGATTCAAAATGGGTTTATTGGAGTCAACTATTTTTTCTTCCGATAGGTGCTCAGCAGTATCACTTCCAATATTTGTATTGGATGCTAATTGATCTTTTTCTTCTTTTACTTCTTTGTTTTCTGTTTCTTGAACAATATTGGTATTAACGTCTTTATTTGAATTACTAGCTTCAAACTGATTTGTGACAATATTGTGCTCTGTTTCATGATTGCTGTTGATAATAGGAGTGAAAGTGTGAGAGCTTGTATCAAGTGAATGATCCAGTGTGTTAGTAGTTCCAATAGAGTCTAAATGATTAATGCCAATTTGTGGAACCTCATATTGATTATTTTGATTATCAGCAGTATTTTCAGTATCAAGTGAATGATGTACTGTATTAGTAGTTCCAATAGTTTCTAAATTATTAACGCCAGTTTGTGGAACCTCAAATTGGTTATTAACACTGTCTTGATTATTTTGATTATCAGCAGTATTTTCAGTATTTGCTGTATTTTCAGTATTTGCAGTATTAACAGTATCAGCGGTATCTTCAGCATCAGAAGCTTCAGTTACCGTATATAATTGACCTGTGTTTCCGAAAAAGTTAAAACTTTCGGGATGATGATTATTAGTTTCTAGTAGAGGTGCTTGGAAGTTACTAGTACCTATTCCGAATTCGTGACCAATATTACTATTTATACCAATATCAGAGTTAACTTTATGTTCATATTCATTTACTTCTAGTTTCTGATCTACCTCGTGATGGCTGTTAATATTGACATCAAGATTTGATTCTGGTATACCAGGTACATGATCAACAGTACCAGTAATGATAAGTGGTTCCGAGTTGTTAATGCTACTTTCCGGAATTAATTTTTCATCATTGCCAACAGTTGCAGTATTATCAGCTGCAGTATTATCAGTTACAGTTTTTTTATCATTAGTTTCAAGTTGATTGTTAACAACATCTAAATTCAACGTATGATCAGTTCCATGAGTTACATTGGAAGTTTCCGTATCAGTTACTTTAGATAAATGATCTACATTCGTATTGATATTAAGTGTTTCAGTTTCTAAATCATGATTCTTCTCTTCATCTTCTTGATGATTGTTAGTGCTACCACCACCATAACCGCCACCAACAGCGTAGCTAGTGGGACCACCATAACTATTGCTTACACCGCCATAACCGTATCCCTTATTTGTAGTACCTAAATTTTTCATACCACCTCCGTAACCCGCACCGTAACCATAGCGTGCTGCACCATAACCAGATGGGTTACCATAACTACCCACTTGATTGTAGCCACCTGGGTTATAATCACTACCAGTATAAGGCATTGCAGTTACCATAGAGATGAGAAGAAACGTTGAAAATACAGCCTTTAAAAAATAAAATTGTTAGCAATTTTAATAAATAGTAAAAGCACTTTTAAATTATTTTTTAAATAAATTTTTTTTTTGACACTTACTAAATTGTTCGCCATATTTTTGCTTTTGTTATGTATGCTTTATTTAATACTTATTCTAAGATGAATCTATTTAAACTGAACTAAATCACAGAGTCGTCTTTATTTTATAGCACAAAAATTTGAGTTTAAGAACTGATAAGAATTTGTTGCAGTATTCTTATCAGTTACTACTAATTATATACAATCGAATTTCTTGATGTGCAATCTGAAAATTGGATTACAGTACCTATATTTGATGTAAAACATTTTGCGAAATTTCAGGGCTTTTCCAGGTTTGCAATGTCATCAATGTTGATCACATTGGGTTTTCAAATTGTGCATGTTTTCAATAATTCTGTTTATAAATTTAATCATTTTTTCAAATAAATAATTTCCGTGATAGCTGTTTTAATCTCTCAAATTTTAAGAGATCTTATTTCATGCATATTTGCTAACCTATACGACCGCTGTTTATATATATAGTATTCCCCAATCAATGAATACTATATTTATACATCCTAATGTTGATAATAAAAATTTTTATACGATGTATATTATTATAGTTGGAAAATATGAATAATAATAGGAAAAACATATGATTAATTTATTTTTGATTATTAAAAACTACAATTTCTTAATATTGTATAAAAGTATGTAATAAAATATGAAATAATTTTTATATGATATATTTTTTGTATTATATGTGTTAGGTTTTAAACACAATAGGACAAAAAGTATTTAAAATCGAACATTTTGATATATATGTATTTTTATATAAAATTTGAAAAATAATTTTCTTTCCTGATGTTCGAGAAAATGTGAATTGGTATTGATGTGCTTGATAAAGGGTGATCAAATTAGGGCTACATTTTTAATTTTAAATAAAAATAAAACAGATACATATACAAGATTTTTATTTTAAATATCGCTCTACGTTTTTAATTAAAATAGATTTTTCGTAAATAACTTTCTTTAGTCGTTTTTAATAATTTGACTCGGGAACCTATATTTTTGGTTACTTTTTTAAATAACATTAGTACAAATATTGCATCAATGACACGAATAATGTTTGTATACTAATGTATAATATTATATAGAGGAAAATAGTTCAATAAAATCATTTTTAATAATTTTTTTAACCACACTCAGCAAATATGTTCTAACCATTTTGTTAGAGAAATTTTATGTGGTAAAGAAGATATTACAATCTACATGTGGTATGGCTGAACCAACATGATACGTCGAGTAAGAATATTTTTACCTGAGATTTAAGTTAAAATCTGGTTAAATCAACCAAATTATTTTTCTGAGTGCAGTTCTGATTGGTGTTTCTGAATATACAATCTTAAATAATTGATTGTTTTATGAGATGTATGATATGTGCATACATGATAAATAAGTAATCATGTGTCTGTAGTAGTCTTTATTGCCGATAACTGGTGTTTTTTTATTTTCAAAAAAAAAAGGGGTCTCCTTAACCTAAAGTTTATAAATATCATGTGCATTTTCTTGACTCTAAACGTAGTTTCCTCTCTAAAGTTGTAATCTCTACGATATGATGGATCTGTTTAAAGATGTTAGAAAACTCAATTTACAAGAGTTCTATGGTCATATAGTAAAAGTTCTTAGTGAAACTGAATTTTATACGACTTAAAATGTTAATCACTAAGATTAATTGTGCTGTCATTAAATATTTTGACTTCTTAAGAATGAATCTAATTACTTATTCTTGATTTTTATATCATTATTAACGTGTTTATGTTATTATATATAGTATATTAAATTTTTGATGAGTTGAATACCTAATACCATCACAAAGCTTTCGTGTGCATTTAAATGAAAATAGTAGCTAATATATTGAAAAACTATATAATATTGTGCTTGATTGCCCTGTATATATAAGAAAAATACTTTTTAAGTTTTCATATCTATAAAAATGAATTAAAAGTGAATTAAAAGGGTTATTTATATATATTTAAGTTTCCAGATGTTAAAATAACAAGCAGTTTAAATTTAGTATTGAAAGCGGATATTGACATATAAGTGAACTAAATTGAAATAAGTATTAATTTAAAAATAATATAAAAAGCAATCGGTTATACAATTTTTATATAATATAAAGATGTTTTTATGCTTTGTTTTGGATATATTGAACATCATCATCATATGATATATTTCAAAAGCTAGGTAAACCATAGGTCAACCATAGTTGAATCTGAATTTGATGTTTGATGTATTTCCATCTGATAAGAGGGTTTCAATTGTTTGAGTTTTTCTTGACTGTTAAGCCTTACAATGTGAATGTTAAGTCTCAATATCAATTTATATTCATTTAAAACTCGTTTGAATATATATGAAATATAACAGATTAAATAAATTATTCCATACTATACAATAAATGATGTCATTAATTTAGTAAATAAAAATTAGCTAATGAGTGTAGTGGGTAAAATTTAATAAACTTCATTTAAAAAAAATGACTAAAAAATGAGTATAAAGTAATAATAAACGATGTTTGAAAATGTGATTGGTTTATAGTTTTATAGAGAGGTTTCGAAAAGTAGTGAACTCCAACAACAAAATTTTTTTTTCTATTATTTTAATTAATTGAATTTTTTTTTTATTGTATTTCATTACTTTTCGAAACCTCTCTATCAAATATCACTGTTTCTATTCAAGTAGAAATAGGTTTCCATTTAATTTTACTGCAGTGCTATGTTAAAAATTCTTTTTGAATCGATTCGATAATATTACAGGCGTCGAGGGACTTAAACAAAAACGTATTATTTTGTCGCTTAACATAAATATTAAATGTTAAAAAATGTTAAAAATTGATACAATGTAGTAAAAATATAAAAAATAATGTTTCACTCATTTCAACTTTGGCTTTTTGGTATTATTACAAATTATATCAAAGGCAAAAAATTTGATTTTGGTGGAAATAAACTCAATTGCTACAGGAATGTGTAAATTTAATTAGAAAATATTCACTGTTGACTGCTCTGGAATGATTTCATAAATTTGTTAAGTGTTTGCCACATACACAACATAGACAAATTTAAATCCTAGGCAGTTTAAATTTACACGACATGTATAAGAAAAGACACACATTAAGGCTGAGGTGAAATTTTATATGTTAGCCACAATCATTAAAAAAATATGTAATCTATGTATCTTCTCCCATTATAATGTACAAAATTCTGTGCATGTTTTCACAAAATTTTAGTTAATCTCATCATCATAAAATAGAACGTATTATTATGCTTGCATGTCGAATTAAGAGAAGTGTTTTATATAACTTAACGATATTGCTTTCTTAACACGACCAATATATTATCCTATTATTTTATGTTTGAATTAATGCCTGAGTGGAAAGTTCTAAGCCCAGTAAGATAACGGATTACCACTATGGAAGTCTACGGACTAACGTACCTGAGAGATTATCAAATAAAGTTTGTGTCGCTGATTATAGAAAACAACAAGGCAAGTTTTAATAATAAAACGGCGCTTATGCATTACTTCGATAGAAGAAAAAACTCTAATGCTACTGAAACCATCCAATTGACTAAACTGTGACCCAGCAAAAACTTACAACTTACTAAACTGATAGTCAATAAGTATTCAAGAAATATTCAACATATAATCATTCATTAAAGAATGAGTGGCATTTTGTTTCCATATCGAGGAATCTGTAATATTCTGTTTCTTTTTTTATATAGTAGATGAGCGAGTTTTTTGAAGTTTTGATAAAAAACAAAGTTTTGTTGTGATATTATAAAAAATTAAAATTTTAAGATTTTCTTAAGTGGAATAATATATCATACAATTTAAAAGAAAATAGTGGAATTATGTACAATACCTCAATACTCGTTGTTAAACAGTTTTAAAAAAGTACACATATGGTGCAAGTGTCATATCTTCCAAAGGCAAGACATTAAAATGCTGGCAAAAAAAATTACATAAGTTAATTTCTTGAAACAGTTAGGTTAGGTAAGTTGAGGTTGAGGAAGAAACGAATCTTCCTCAATAAGCTAAGAATATCGTTTTGATCCCATAATTCCTCGTAATAATAGGTAGAAGAATGGTTAAGTTATAACTAGCTAGAAGCATTTATAAAAGCGTGAGAGTGGCATATACTATTGCTGGAGATTCCGCTGAATGTGTTAAGGAAGGGGCCCCGTACCTTAGCTTAAGCTTAGTTCTGGATAAGCGAAGACATAGACACAACAGGAATTCTGGAGTCATTTCTTCGAGTGCTGGTAGACACGCGTTACAGGAGCTTAGACCCATGCCTTCCAATACCCTGTAAAGAGAGGTATTAACCAAGATATTTCGGCCTGAAA